GGGGCGGTGCGGCGGGGCCGGGGCGCGGGGCCGGGGCCGAGCATGGGCAGCGGCGGGGCGGGACACGGCGGGGACACGGCGGGCCCGTGACGTCACTGCGACGTCAGAGGCGCCCCGGGCTGTCAGCTGGAGCTGGGCGAGCCGCGCTGACGAGGCAGCCGGTCTTAAAGGGGTCTCCTGCCCGCGGCGGGCGGACCCCACCCACCGGCGGCAGGTGAGTGCCGGTAAAGGGGAGCGGGGCCAGCCCGACCCCGCCACCCCAGGACTCTCCCGTTTGGCTCTGTCCAACCAACTGTGCCTTTGAGCCGAGCCGGGTCCGCCCGCCGCCGCCCTCGGGTGGTGCCGGGGCTGCGGGCGCGGAGGTGCCCGCGGGGGACACGAGCGGGGCAGCCACGGGCGGCCGCACCGCGCGCGGCCCCTTTAAGGGGCGCCGGGGGCTCCCACCGGGCAGAGCCGCATGGCGCGGCGGCGCGTGGGGCGTCACGTGGGTGGGACGTGGCGGCGGCTCATTGGCCCGCCCGGCCTGGCCCGCCGCAATCAGCTGTTACTGGGGCGAAGGGCAGGAGGCGGCCTTAAAGGGGCACCGCGGCCCCGGCACCCGCTGACCCCACTGGCTGAGCAGCCTGGTAGGGAACATCAGTGTAATGGCTGTGCGCGGGACAGTGGGTGAGCCCCGCTGGTCCGGCCGGGCTGGGCTGGGCTGGGCTGCTGGTGCCCTGCGCTCTCTCTTCCTCCGCCGCCCGCGGCGGGCGCGGCCCCTTTAAAGAAGTTGTCCAGTCATCGCGCGGCGCTGCCAAGTCATCGGGGTCACCCGAGTCCTCGCGGCCACGCCCCCCGCGCCCGCCGATTGGCGCGCGCGCCGAGCGCTCACTTCTGATTGGCCCGAGGACTTGGAGCAACTTCTCGGAATCGGGGCTGTGTCACCGGCCCTGGGCGCTGGAAGGCGCCGCCCGAGGGCGGCCCCCGCGGCAGCGCCGCGCCCCGCTCGGGGCCCGCGGGAGGGTCGGGCCCCCTCCGGGGCCGCCCCGTCCCCGCCACCCCTTCCCCCCTCTTGAAAATGCCAACTCACAGCACGCGGGGCATGCCGGGAGCGCCGCGCCGCACTACAACTCCCGGCATGCCCCGCGGCGGCCCGCCCGTTTCCAAGGCAACCGCCGGCCGGCGAGGCGGGAGCCAGACTCTTCCCCTGCGCGGTGGGTGGGGCGGAGGGATGGCTTCCGCTCCCCATTGGCCGGGCGTCGGGTAGCGCCGGGCCTCCATTGGCGGGAGCGAGCGTCAATCGCGGCGCGGGGGCGGGCGCGGCGGGCGGCGGCGGTGCCGGCCGGCGATTGGCCCGGGGGCGGGGCCGGGGGCCGAGGGGCGGGGCCGGGGGCGGCTGCGTCATGACTCTGCCAGCTGATCCGGGACGGAGCCGGCGCGGCGGGGGAGGCGGCGGCACCGGCACCGGGAACAGGGACCCGCCACGGCCCGGGCGGCACCGGTGGGACCGGACCCGCAGGTGGGTCCGCCGGCACCGCGCTCGGGCGCGCGGTAAGAGCGGCCGAGCCCCCCGCCGGTGCGCCGGGAGTCGAGGGGCTGCGCCCCACCGGGGACGGGAAGGGACGGGAGGGGAAGGTGACCTTCCCCCCGGAGCAGGGCGGCGGTGGGGGCCCGGCGCGCCGCGTCCCGTCTCTCCCCTGGCCTCGCGGCGCCGCCCGGGCCGGGTGGCCTCGCCCCCGGTGGGGTCGGGGCGCGGTACGGGGGGGTTTGGGGCCGGGGTCGGTGCGCGGCCCCCGCGCCGGGGGGTGTCCCGGTGGGGCGGGCGGAGCCGCGGCCGGGGCTTCCCGCGACGGGCGGTGGCCGCCCCGGGGGTGACCTTCACTCCGGGACCGGGCTGGGCAGACTTTGACCTGAGGCCGCTCCCGCCGCGGGCACGGGCCGGAGCATCCCGGGCGGCGGAGGGGCGGGAGGGGCGGCGGAGAGTCCCGGGGGGAGCGGAGGGAGCGGCTTGGCCGTGGAGTGGCGGCGGCGGGGAGCGGTCTCGGTTAGAGGGGGATCGGGGGTGTTGGTTTTACCGGGAGGAGAGGCTCTGGTGGAGGGGGGTGACCCGGTTATACCGGGAGGGGGGCACCGGCTGCGGGCACAGCGGGTTTTATTAGCGGGGCGAGCTCCCAGCGGGGCCCCTCCCAGAGCCGATGGGGTCTGTCGGTGCCGAGGAGGGGTGGGTGGGAGCCGTGTTACCGTCAGCCCCCCCCTTCATCAGCCCCCGGTGCCGGCGGGGCCGGTGGCTCAGCGGCGGGTGCTGATTCACGGGCCGGCGGGGGTGGAGCAGGGCCGGGACCAGCTCACTGGAATCCGGACCAGATGTACCCGGCACGCCAGGAATGCTCGGCATCCCCGCCGGGCCCCGCCGCCGCCGCTGCGCCCCGGCCACCGGTCCCGCACCGGGAGCCTCCCCGCAGCCCCGAACTGGGGTCCGGCCGCACCTACCGCCCGCTGAGGCCCGGGGCCAGCCGGGGTCCCCCGTACCTTTGGGGTGACGCCGGCGGGAGGATGTTGTGCTGGCCCCCAGGGAGTTTCCCGGTGTTGTCTGTCCCCCCACCGGGTCCGTCTGTCCACCCCGCCAGGCCCGGTTGCCTGGGGGTTTTCCCAAAACTCAACCCCCAGTAGCCAAACCGCTGGGTTGGTGTGGAAAGGGGACTTTTCCCGGGCTGAAGGGGAAGCAGTGGGGTCTCACACCAGCCCTGGGGGTTGGCGTCCTTGCCCTCCAACAAAATGACTCGGGGTGGGAGGGAGGGGGGAAAAAAAAGCTGCACTCCCCAGAATTCCCCCACCGGTGGCTTGGCAGCAGCCGCCTGACAAAGTGTCTTCCCCGTCAGGAGGCTCCTGGCCCCTGGCCAGGTGGGACCCTGCCAGCGCCGATGGATGCCCGAGGTGAGCCGACAGGGAATGCCATAACCCCCACCTGCAGTGGCCTCCCTGCCCTGCCTGGAGCAGGCTTTCTTATCTCTTATTTTTCCAGCAAAAACGGCCTTGGGTTTCCCATTGCTCATAGTTTAGCACCAGCTGCAGGTGCTGGAGCTCACGCACCACCTGCTTTGGGAGAGGGAAGGGTTGAGGTCGGAGCTGCCTCTCGATTCCATGCGATGGGGGGGATTTCAGCCCCGAGGAGCTTCCTTGGGGGGAAGACAAGGTGGTAGATCAGGACCTGGTGTTGGAGTGGGGGAGAGGAGCAGCCCTGGCTGCTGTGGGTGATGGCTCGGCGTGGTTTGATCCTGGCTCTGATCCATGTATTTCCTTTCCAGGTGCTTCCATGCCCCCCCTGCTCCTGGCTAACCAGCACCAGTTCTTCAGTGGCAAGCTTTATGTCCTTCTCCAGTAGCTAAAGCTGCCAGTTGAAGAACTGTTGAATGTAGCCACTCTCTTCTTGTCACTGGGACCTTGGATGCCAGCCAGACCCGCGCCCTGAGCGACCAGGATGAGCCAGTCTGAAGTGTCCTGTGGATGAGTCCAGCCGGGATGAAGAAGTCTCCCCACAGCCTCCAGACAGAGCCTTGGCTGGGGGATTGCCAGGCAGCCCTGTCAGCGGGGTCTCGCTGCAGTGGGGTGTCACTGAGCTGAGAGGAGACCAAAAGAGGCATTAAACTTTCCTTTTCGCTCAACAGTTCAGTTTTAGGAAGTTTGTTGCCCATGGGGTGCCCGGACTTGCCTGGTGGGTAGATGGTGGGCGTTGTAGACCCTTTGGGATGCTGGGGGGGCCACAGCACCAGAGCTCAATCCCTGATGCCCCGTTGGGGTCTGCAGGTGGAGGGTTGGTTGTTCAGGTCCCCTGGGTTTGCCCCAAGCCAGAGGTGAGCCAAGGCTGGGCGTAGCCCACAGGTCTGACCTGCTGTTGAGCTCAGGAGCTGGATTAATCCTGCAACATGCCAGGCAGTGGGATGGAGCCTGGGGAGAGGGCTGGCTCCACACCCACGCTGCCCTGGTGCGGGTCGGGGCCGGGTGCGGTGGGGCTGGGCCACTGGGAGAGGGTGACTCAGGTCCGAGTCACGCGCGGCTCTGGAGCCTCTGGACGTCTGTTCCCGGAACCACTGTCTGTCCTGCGAGGCTGGGCAGCCCTGACTGTGGCTGGCCCTGGGGCAGCACCAGGATTCCAGGTATTTTGGAGCCAGCAGCACTGAGAGGGGTCCAGGTGAATCTTGCGAGGCTCCTCCATGGTCCAAGCTCTGCCTTGCTGGTGGACAGAAGCAGAAGACTGCTCTGAAAGGAACCTGGAAGCTGCTCTCCAGGGATGGCGACCCCTCCCTGCCTTGCACTGAGTGAGAGAGAAGCTCTGTGTGGCCACAGCAAGGGCTCCAGGGAGCCTCTGCACTCCAGGAGGTGCCTTTCCCACGGGTCTGCCAGGACCACCACCCCCCCCCAGGCTGCCTTGGTGGCTGGGAATTAGGGGAGTGTCCAGGCACTGCTGCTCGGGGCCTGCCAGGAAGAGCACAGCTCATCCCAGCTCTGAGGGCGGGCAGGGAGGAACGGCCTGTGCTGAAATGTCTGCACAATCTCAACTAACTCTGCCTGCCTGGGCTCCAGCCGCCCAAGGCAGGGCTGTTCCCAATTTTGGCACCCAGCAAAGCACAGAAAGCAGCCTGGTGTCCATTAAGTGGTAGAAGTGGAGCAAATCTGTTGTCCTGGGGTCTTTCCTTCTTACACAAAGCTGCTCTTCTTGGCTTGTGCTTCCTGATGGCTACGAGAAGCTGAATTTCTTTGGCGTGGTTGTCACCCAGAGAGAGTGGGGCTGCTGAACCCCCCTGGGATTAGTTCCTCCAGCTTGAGGCAGAGCCTGTCTCTTCCACCGTGGCTGCCCTGCTGCAAGTCCATACAACACAACTGGCACCTGCTCAGTGGCCAACACCTCTTGGAGTGCACCGAGGGGGCAGAAAGTTGTGGGTAGGTGTGTGTGTGTGCAGGGTGCCCAAGGGCAGGGAGGAGCAGCTTCCTGGGCTTACTCTCCTTCCCATGCAGCACAGCTTGATAGGGATGGGAGCTGACGCTCTGGCCACCAGCACCTCTGCCCTTGTGTGCCTCGGGATACAGGGAATGCATAAATTTGTCGTGAAGGAATAACCTGTGCTGCTGAAACCCCATGGTGAGATGTGGCTATTTCAGGGCAGAGAGTTGCCCTGAGCAGAAGCACCGAGCCCACGGGGTCAGGAAATGCAAAACGTCATATTTCAGGTCAAATTCATATGCGAGAAGGTGCCAGAGGGCAAGTTTGTGTATTTAACACAAAACCAGTTCTGCAGTATCTCACCTGCTGAGCAGAGGGCTCAGGCTCTGGCTACCCTGCAGCTCATGTAAAACCAGAGGGGTTTTAGGCTGACAGTAAGTGCCCCTGTGGGAACTTGCCCAGCTCCTGGGACTTACCCTTCCTCTTGCAAAGCTCCATGTGACTGCTGAGTAAGTGCAGGGTTTCCTGTAGAAAGCACAGCCTCGCTCGCTGTTGCCTTGCAAAAAACTCGATGACTCTTTCCTCCAGCATCTGTCCACCTCCCCGAAGCATCCAGCACGCAGGGACGTGGCAGGAGAGGGGATGCTGACTGGAGCTGGGATTTCTCTGCCGGAGGCTGGCTGCTGTCAGGGGGTGGGAAGCGCTCGCTGCGGCAGCTAATGCAATATTCAAGACGGCAGTGACAGTGCCAGCAGGTGCTGCTGGCTCAGAGGTCGGGTGGCATTTCTGTCCTTAGGGGCAGGGTATTCCGTGTGAGTTCCTGCGCACAGACCACCCTGTTCCCAGCCGGGAGAGCAGCTTGCTCGCTCACAGCTCCCCTTGCTGGGGAAATGTGCTTTTGCAAAGGAGAAGGTCAGCGTGACCGGTGTGCTGGATGAAAGCTCCCTGCCAACAGGGAAGGAACAGGAGGAGCTGGTTTTATCTGTGGCGGGTGGATTTGTGGATGTGTGGTGGCTGCTGCCTGCACAGACTCCCAGCCAAGCCTCAGGCCACAGGCAACCTCCTCTTTTCCAGCCCAGCAGATCACTAGAAGAGGAGGGAAAGCTCTGCTGTACTTTGTCCCAGCACACAAGCAAGGAGTGAGTCTGCAAACACAAAATGCAGGTGCTGATTTCGACTTTCCTGATGGTTTTATTTCTCCAGGACAGGAGGATGTGGAGCTGTTAACCCTTGGGTATGTGCCCCTCACAGGGGCAGGTACCAAGCTCAGGTTTGTGCCAGTGAGGATATGTTGCCGATGTCACAGGCCCTGCAAACAAGAGGAAGGTCGGGGATTTGCCGAAACTCATCCGGGCTTCGTGTCTCTCAGTGGGCTCTGCCAGCCTGGGGAACAGCACAGAGCCACCCACCAGCTCGGCCAGGCTGTCACTTACTCTGCTTCTTCTTTGGAAATTAGTTTCCCCAAGTATAAAACTTCTGCAATGAGAGACACCATGGGGTCGCAGTTCAGGCTGGCAGCTGCTGTCACATGGCCATCCCTGAGAGGGAAAGAGGAAGAATGTGGATCTCCTCAGTGTACATAGCTCAGCACAGCAGCGTCCTCGTGGCACCCTGACTGGAGACCAGCTGTATTTCAGAGGGCTCAGGGCAGAGTGGCTGGTGCTGCAGGATGCACAGGGACTTGTGGCAGATCGTCTGGCACTGCTGGGAGCTGGGCACCGAGCCTGGGAGCAGCAGGGCAGAGGGAGAGGAGACGTGTCCCAGGCTCCCTGCCCAGCTGGTGTCTTCATTGAAGCTCATCCTCTTCTCCTTCCCTGCCCTGCTTTGGTTTTCTCTGGAACCATCTCACTGCTGGTTCAGCGCCCAGCAGCCACAGGAGGTGATGTGGAGCCTCTGCGGAATCTCTGCAGGCTGTAAGGGAGAGAACCTTGCCCTGTTCCCGCAGCAGTGCTGTGTCAGGGCATGGACTGGCCATGGATTCACTCACTTGAGGTAAAAGATCAGGAACTTCTGTTGCTCCAGGCTGCCCTTCACAACAGTGTCCGTGTATCCCTTTCCACAGCCTGTGAGAGAGAATGTCACAGCCTGCTCAGGGAGCCCTGGCACAGCAGCTGCCACCCATCCCACCTCACAGCCATCACAGGTAGGGACAGAGGGCACAGTGACTGGCTGGGGCAGAACTGGGGAGCAGGCATGAAGGCCCTGGGCAAGCAGAACTGATGCAGAGCTGCACAATTACATCATGACCCTGAGCCTTTCCTTGGCTCGGAGAGGGAGGTCCTACCTCCTTTGTGACCTCTAAGCCACTTGAGATCAGCAAAGAACAAGAGCTCTGGGTAACATTCAGGCCCAAAGCTTGAACTCACCGTGGCAGCCAGTCCAAAACTTGAGCTGCTTCAGGTGAACTCTGCAACCACTGCGTTTACAAGCCCAGACCCAGCTGGTGGGTGAGCAATGGGCAGGGAAGAAGTTCTGCTGCTCCCATCTCTCTGCCCCCTCCTACCTGCATAGCGGATGCTTTTCCCAAGCAACGTGGTCCAGAAGAAGGGAACAGTGTGCAACTCCTTCTCTTTCTTCAGCATGTTTAAGGCAGCAACGTGACCTGTGACGAGCCAACAGAGGAAATATTTTTCTCGAAGGTGCTCAAAGAAGTGTTCTCTGCCTCTTGTTATCCTGCCCTGTCCCTTCTGCCCCATTCCCTCCTCCAGGGGAGCTGGAAAGTGAGATGGCTGAGCTCTCACCGTGGGCCTCAGCCACTTGTTGGTGATGGATGCTGGACCGGTCCCCACTGAGAAGTGCTACTGGAAAGGACACCACGTCCCCCGCAGCAAAGACATTTGGGATGTTGGTTTGCATGTGCTAAGAAAGAGCAGTTAGTGCAAGGATGAGAGTGAAGGGATGGGGTTGGACCTGGAATACTCGGCTGGCACTCACCAGATCCACCAGGATGGCACCTTTGTCATCTCTGGCAATGGAGGTGCCCTTCAGAAATGCTGAGCTGGGGGTCGACCCTGCAGGGAGAGGAGCAGGGACAAAAGGCAGGGAGGAAATTTGGTCCCACAGCAAACATGTGCCTGTGCTGCCTGCTCAGCCTGCTCAGAGCTGAGCACTTGCTCTGTTCTGCACTTGGAGCATGAGCTGTGCTTGGGCTGGTGCTGAGCTAATCCAGGGGCAATAAAACCAGGGCCCAGGACACAGCACGCTCCAGTAACACAGCAGTGACCTATGGAGCTCAGCAAGTGAGCCAAAGGCACTCTGAGAGTGTAATTGGCTCCCTTCCTCCAAGGCCAAGTGCTTGTTCATGAACTGCTGACTTTCTGCAGGTGTTTGGGGCCGGGAGGAAGGGTTGGATGATAACAGAACGGGAAAGAGACTGCAGGGGATGGTGTCCTGGGAATGAACTGTGGTGTTCTGGGCTTGCTGACTGTTCTCCCCATTCCTAAAGAGCCTCACTCTCCCAAATGGGGTCTCTTACCTATTCCCACCACTACCACATCTGCAGGTAATTTCTCTCCGTTGGCAAGAACAGCCTCTGTGACCTAGGAGAGAAGGAAGAGTCATTAATAAAGGGTTAAAAACGCTGTCCTAATTCCAGCAGCCTCCCTGCTGCTTCATTCTTTGCTGTCTTTTTTCTTCCCCAGGTTCGGATCACCTTGTCCAACTAATGTGCATTGCTGGGAATGTAAAAGAAAATCACACTGCTGTCCCTGAGAGAGGAACACTTACTGGTGCCCTTTGAGCCCAGAGCTGTACTCAGTGAAAAGAAAGGGAGGGTCTAGACATGGGAGAGGACAGCCGAGATGTAGACACTGGGCTATACCTCAGTTTGGGATTTTTTTTCCCCTAAAATTAGCAGTTCAGGGATCACAGAGGCATGACTGACCTTTCCATACTTTCCTTTCAGCTCACAGAGTTCTGATTTCATGTGGAACTTCACCCCTTTATTTTGCAGCATCTGAAAAGGACTAGTTTCAGTATTCATTAGGAAATTCCAGGCTGTACTGCTATAAAAACAGCTCTGCCCAGACAAAACCCAGGCAGACAGCACAGCTGCTGCTCCAGGCTGCAGAGAGGTTCCATTTGTGTCCCTGGCTGGTGCAGGGACCCTGGAACCCTGGCTTTTCTCTGCAGTCTCAGTCAGGACTGGTGTGTGAGGTGGGTTTGGGATGAAGCAGGGCCGGGGAGTGTGATGTGTGCGTGGGGAGGTTGGGACCAGCCATGTGTGAGGCTGGTGCTGGGCACACAGAGTTATGACTCAGCACAGGGGTGAGGTTTCCTGGGCTGTTGTGGATCACTGGGCTGCCTGGATAATGTGTGTTCTCCCTCCCAGAATTTAGTGCCAGGTTTTCCCAACCTTCATGGCGACGCCTCCAACCTGAGGACCCAGAGCGTGCTGGAAAGGGAACTCCTCTCTTTCCACCACTGAGATGGTACCAGCCTTGTCTGAGAGGAAGGCAGCCACCTCCATTCCTGCAAGGGAAAGGTATGCCCAAGGTAAGCCTGCTGCAAGCATCAACCTGTATCCTCCTGCTTGGAAATCTTTTCCCCTTCCAGGAGAGCAAATCTGACGTGTTGCCAGTGCTTAACTGCTTTGCTATGCATTTCTGGGCTGAGGTATTTAGCTCCCCACTGTCTTTGTTCTTGTGCACTACAGACCTGGATATTAGGAAATGCAAAGAGCAGCTCCCAGTTTTGAACAAAATAGCTCCCTTTCTGTGCCTTGCCTCCTCGCTTTCCCAATGCTTCTGGGGAATCCAACTCCTCTGAAGGACAGTGACCTTTTATAAGGCACATTTCCCTCTGTCCTTGTGCAGGAATTGTTTATAGCTCTCAAAGTTTCTGGCTATCAGAGGAAAGAATGAGTGGGTGCTGTGTAATGCACACCCCCAGCAGCTACAGGGCTCCAGGGAGGATCCCAGCTGGGTAGAAAATGAACATCCCTTCCCTGAGGGCCTCTGATTAATCTGTACAGGCAACAGAAGCGCTCACTGATAGCTTGATACCCACTCCAGCCTGGTACCTACGAATGAAGCTCCTACAATCACCAGATTCTTCCCAGTTGCCAGCTCCAAGATCTTGCTGGAGTCTTCTGGAGTTTGGAGAATGCACACGTTCTGCAGGTCTGCACCTGGGACTTTGAGGAAGCTGGAGCTGAAAGAGAGAAAATCCAGATGCATCCCATAATCAGAAATTAAAGAACGAGGAGGGAGTACAAGCCCATGGCTGTGTCATCCCATTCTGTCCTTTCATCTCATTTCCTACCACCTCCCTTACACTCCAATTCCATGTCCCAATGTTGACCCATCCTGTCCTGCCTCTAATTCTGTGCGTGGCAAATGCTTTGTGCACTCACTGGCTGCCTGTTGCAATGAGCAGCTGATGGTATTTCTGAGAGGAACCATCCATGAAGTGGACCTGCTGCTTCTGGAAATCCACCGACACTGCCTGCAGGAGAGAGGGGTCAGAGATCAGGCAGGCACCTCTGACCCACTGGTGTCCTGCCTGTCTTGCCTGTGGCTGTGTGCCTTGTTTCTGGACACTGAGGTGAGATGAGGGATGCTGGAGTCCTCTCTCCCACTTCCTAAAGGTCCATCCATGGGCTGCACAGACCAGTGTTACACCCAAGGTACGGACACCATCCATAGCACTGGCCTGGGAATGCTGTCCCAGAAGATAATACATGTATTTAGGAGAGCTCTAATTTATAGAATCATAGAATGGTTTGGGTTGGAAAGGACCTCAAAGACCATCTCATTCCACCCCCCTGCTAGGGGTAGGGACACCTTCCACTAGACCAGGTTGCTCCAAGCTCTGTCCAACCTGGTCTTGGACACTTCCAGGGATACAGGGGCAGCCACAGCTTCTCTGGGAAATCTGTGCCAGGGCCTCACCACCCTTATAGTACGGAATTTCTTCCCCTCACCATGGCAGGAACAGGATCAACCACTGAAGACTAAGCTCAGCTTCTCTGGTACCTCTTTCTCTGTCCAGAACTCTATTCCCTGAGCATCAAGGAATTCAGGTTTCCTCAGGTAGATGTTCTCAGCTTTCAAGTCCATTTCCTGAAAACACAACAGAAATGTGAAATAAAGCACTTCTTACAAACAGCAATTTTCCTTCAGTGTTTACTGGTAAACCAGTTTGCATAAGAGGTAAATTTCCCATTAGTCAATCACAGCTCCCCACACTGCCCCATCCCCAGCCTCTTGTTCTCTCTCAGAAAAACCATCAACTCAAACTCTAGCAGGAAGAACTCAGTAAAAGGAGAGAAAACCATCAACTTTTGGTGGACTCTGATCAAAGACTTCCCGGGAGGGAGAAGTGAGATGTTTTCTGGAATTTTTACCCCTGTTCCCTGTGAGTACCTCAGCACTCCTGCTTTGCTCAGCCTGGCCCTCAGTGTGGGCCATGTCCCACGTGGTGCCCAGGCACAGTCCTTGCCCTTGTCACGCACAAACCTTGCTCAGTTTGGACTTGTCGTATGGAACATGTTTCTCTTTAGTGGCCATGATGATCCTGCCAGTAAAACCCTCCTGGCGAAGCGTCTCTGCACACACCAGGGCAGCCACACCTAGAGGAGATGCTCATCTCAGCCCTCTTACACACCACTGTGGAGTAAGAGGAGCAGGTAAGCCCTCCCTGGAGAAGAGAGTGGCAGCTCACAGAGTGTGTGTGGAGAGGGCACAGCACAGACCCCTTCACTGACCTCCCCCCAGCAGCAGCATTGTGTTCTGGTTGACAAGGCACCGCCTGCTTCTGGCCTTCACCCTCAGGCTGTTTTCAAGGTCCTAGAAAAAAATGAGAAAAGCTGAAATCATGCCCAGCCCAAGGTGCTGCTCGTGCTCAGTGGCAGCAGGTAAGGTCAGTACCTTCTTTTTTGCTGTAACAAACACCTTTCCATCTTCCACTGTTACCTGAAGGGGGCAAGGAGAGGGCATTTAAGTGCTGCATCCATGGGGTTGTGGTAGGAGCTCACCTAACTCTGATCTTGGATGTCAAATGATGCTGAGGAGCTCATGAGCTTTCCTCCTCATTCCAAGAGCACTCAGGAAGAGGTGTAAATAATTTTTATTTCCCACAAGAGCTGTGCTGGCTGTGAGAGACACCAGGATATATGGCATCACCTTTGATTCAAAGGAGCTTTAGGGCAGGGAGTTACATGATCCCAAGAAATCATCCCATGTGTTGTAGCTCTGTATGACCTGGGCCACGGAGGGGTGGCCAGGGCAGGGGGCTTTCAGTTGGTGTCAGGAATACAGAGCTTGTGAGAGAGAATGAATGTGAGAGGTGCAGAGGACGTGGCCCAAGATGGGAGGAGAAAAAGCCAAGAGGTCACCTTAAAGCAGGAGATACAGTCCAGAGAAGGGTATTCCTCGATGTCTCCAGTTCTGATGTTAAAGCAGGCGCCGTGCCAGGGGCAGCGCAGCCTCTCCCCTCTCAAGACCCCTGCAACAGAAACCCCCCACAACTGGGCAGTGAGAACCAACCTCCTCAATGTGGCTTCTCCCCCTGCCCCGAGCTGGGGTTACCTTTGCTGAGCGGGGCACCATAGTGGGGACATTTGCTGCCCAGGGCACTGAACTCCTTCCTGTTCCTCACCAGCAGCACTGGGTAACCAGCCACCATCACCTCCAGGAGCCTGTGGGAGAGGTGGGGAGGTGGGCACACAATCACCTGGCTCCCCACCACCCCCCCCAGGTACTCACTCTCCATCCCCAACGTCGTCCTCCCTGCAGACCTCGGCGGTGACGGTGTTGGTGTCGTCACTGTCCATGCCGGTGGCTGCTGGGAGCTGGTCAACACCAGGCACTTAAGGGGTCCCAAATTCCTGATACAGCACGAAAAAACCCTCAACTTGTGGAAAACACCCATTTCACCCCCTTTTTTTACTTTGTGTCCAAATTTGAAGTCCATTCCTCTGTCCTTTCCTCCTCTGACTTAACCCACTTTTTGTTTTCAGCCCTGTGTCCCATTAAACTGCAGCACAGGGTTAGTCAGGAGATATGATTAATGACTGTTGTAAATAAATGCAATTATTTATGGGGAGGTGCTGCTGCCTTATCCCCTGTCTCCCCCAAATTGGATCTAAAGAGCCACTTCAGCATCTTGAAAACCTCTCTAAAATTTTTGCAGAGATGTTATTCATGCTAATTGCCATGAAAGCACTAATCCCTACCCAAAATACCTCTTGGGTTAGAAAAGTGAGAAAACCCTCAGTCCTTAATGCTCTTCCTGCCTTAGCAATCAGTTGAGAGGCTGATTAGGAATCTCCCTCTCTGTTTTGGAGAAAAAAAAGCAAGATATGGAGCTGAGTGAGGGTCATTTGAGGCAGGTTTCAGTACAGGGTGGTGACTTGCTCCTGCAAATCCCTGCTGCAACACTGCCCCGCTCCCAGGGCCCTTGGGAGAAGCATTGGTGGGTACTCACCTGGTCCTGCTGTGGGGGTTCTGTCACCTGTCCCCCGGCTCAGAAAGCCACCACAGCTGCCGTCTGAGACTTTCTCCTCTGAGGTGACACCCTGGTGTCTCACCACAGGCACTCTGCCCGCTGCCAACCCACAGCTGGTGATGCTCTCCCCACGTTGCACAACGTCCCCATCTGTCAGGAGATGCATCTCTTAGAAGCTGCCTCCTGCCAGGGAGTTTTATCTGATTTCTGCAACTGGTCTGTGCCTAATTAAGTGCATTTTGCTTGGGTTTAGAGTTGCAAAAGAACTGAGGACACATAAGAATTATGGTGCAGGTGTGGTGTAAAGACAGGGTGCGTCATGGGCAGCATGAACAGAAACTCGAGTGGATGCGGTGACATCCCACTGCAACTTTCCACTGCCCCTTCTCCCGATGGAAAGCACTCTAGCTCAACCAAACGCATTTTTGCAGCACTTCAGAATAATATTACTACTTTTTACATACTCCAATAACATTTAAAATTCTTTAATTCGATCTTTCAGTAAGATTTTTCTCTGCTGATTTTAAGGCACATGAAGTGTTCAGCACCTTTGCATGTGCCTTACTGTCCAGCTCTGCTCCTGGTTCAGTCACCAGTGTCCAGGCACACGATCCCATCGTTGCATGGAGCATGAAGGATGGCATGGAGCAGGGTGTTGCTTTCTGTACTATTTTTTATAACAGAGTGGGAGTTGCAAAAAACCAGGAGTAACGCCTACACTGTTTGTGTCTACTCTCGTTCTTATCTCTATTTCACAGCCAGTATGTTTCACAACTTTAAAATATACCTTAAATATTAAAGGGGGGGAAAGTTACCAACAGTGTGCTTCCAGCATCTCCCTTGCAGAACCAGAGGTTTGCAGGGATCAGATTTCTGCACGTGGTACGTTCCCAAATCCAGCAGTGGGGAGGATAAAAACCCCTTGGTGGGCGTGACCTGGAGAAGGTGGCAGGCACAGGTATGCTGGGTAAGTGCAAGCTGGCTTGTTTGGGAAGTAGCTCACTTTTTTGGACCCACCAAGCTATGACCACCCTTCCTTCAGATCCAGGTGCTGGGACGCTGCCGGGTATGGATGATCCCGGCCCACGGGGGATGCACGCCCACGATGGGCACAGGTGTGAGGTATTTTCTCACACCACCAATGAGCAGCTTCTGGGCTCTGCCCTCCTGGCCAGGAGCCTGAATGTGAAGCAATTTTGGCTGCCAAACGTCCGTATTTAATCTCTCTGTAATTATTCCCCCAGAAGCGCGTTCCCACGTGGAGAAGCAGCAGCCCTTGTGGAGGCATTCTCTGACTCAGCAGAAATCACTGGAGAAACATCTGCTCAGGGGTGAAAGCTGCAGTGCACAGGCAAAGGGGCAGGTACAGAGGTGTGCAGCTTTGGGAGGCTTTGGGATGAGCCAGGTGGAGCTTGATCCTATATGATGGTATTGGTATTATGGGGCTGATTTGGCTGCTGGGTGCCCATGGATGCTGCTGGATGCTGCTGGATGTGACTGGATGCAGCTGAGCACCCGGGGAAGGGCTTTTGTAAAATGTAAAGGGATAAAGGCAAAACAAAAAGCCCGTCTCTGATGGAGGCAAAGATGATGGGAAAGGATAGAAAGTGGAAAAGGGCATTGGATGTCAGAGGGCAGGTTTGGGTTGGCTGCAGGGATGATGGGTTAGTGTGTGTGAGAGTCAGCACTCAGGAACACACACAATCCCCTCGAGGGATTCAGGCAGCGGGATGGGATTGGAGGCAGATTTTCAGGAAGATGCTCTGTAAGCATGTTTTGGTCCTCTGTTAGGTAATCCAGAGGTAATTACTCAGAGTGGTTTAGACCTCTGCTTGTAACACAGATCAGGATTAAACATAGGAAGGAAGAGAGCAAAAGGAAGTGGTGCCCTCAACCGCAAACAGAGCCCAGGTGGGCATCGAATGTCTCTGACCAGACCTGCCACCCACATCAGTGCTGACTCACATGGGCTGCTGAGCTGACTTTGTGTTTTATTAGATATCTTCACTTTTGCTCTCCAGTGTTGCCAGCGCTCCAGAAATTCAAGTTCAGAGGCGAATATTTAAGGGGTGTAACTCTCCTCCCTTCAAGCCCCCTGCTACCTCCTCCCTGCTAACACCAGCTGGTGCAGCACATTTTTTCCACGCTGTAAAGCAGTTGTAGCTCTGTGGATGTGTCCCTGTCCCAGCTTTGCCTGTCCCCAGCTCGCCAAGCTCAGGGCCCTTCCCTGCCCTGGCAGACCTGCCAGTTTTAACGAGCAGTACCCACAGAGTCAAATCATATGAAAACTGTGCAGTCGCAGGAAGAGGAAGCGAGGTGAAACCTGCAGCAGAGCTAAAATGATTAATGGGGCACTGCTCTCAGAACAGCTTGGTTTGTGATATTAATAACGAGAGAATTCAGGAGGGAACCTAACCTGTTCCAAGCTGCAGAGCCAGCAGCAGCAGGAGATGCAGTTAGGAAGCTCCTGTGCTTATATTTGTAACACGGGAGGAACTGAGTGGGCTCAGCAAGGTATAATGCTGCATAAAGTGGGTGTAGGGGCTGGGACATGCTTCCACCTTGGAGGACTCATTCCGAACCCATCTGAAATGCAAAAAACCCAATGTAATCATGTATACATCATGATGTAACCATAAAGCACATATATATTCATCAAACATTACTTAAGCTTGAGACTGGTGAACAGGTAAAAAATGTTTATCCCACAAGGGAAAAGAAATATTTAGTGGGAATTCATTTGCTTATAGGGTAAACATGTGGTGTTTCACATTCTGTTCCTAAACATTCATGTCTAGCAACGGTGAGAGATGGGATACAGGCCTGGCAGACACCTGGCCCCACCACAAGGAAAGAAGGAACCTGAAATCTTACTAATAGCAGAAGATAAACAGTTCAGAAAGTAGATGAATCTGGGGCATGCCATCTACTGAAAGCAGAGGAGGACTGTAAGGATCTGCCTATCCTGCTGTGCTTGAAGGAGTTTTGGCAGTCAGTGCGTCTGCCAATGGAATTTTTTTCCATCCCATGGCATACCTGTGCAACTGGAGTGAGGAGAGAGCACATCCTTCGTGCCACTGGATCATGACAGCTGGTGCAGCCCAAGCCCATGAGAAACAGTTGAGCCTGCAGCATCCTCAGGGATGTGCTGCTGACACAGGTTTCTTCTTCAGGTCCCTCGTGTCCTGAGAGAAAAAGAGTTCCAGTCCTGGGAAAAAGGAAGAAGGCCAAACACAGGAGCATCCAGAGCAACCTGCCATGGGGCTGTTTATCACGTGGGTGGTTTGGGGGCCATTCCTACATGCCAGGCTGCAGAAGGCAGCTGCTGTGCCCAGTCTGCAGGTGGTATCTGGCACCAGAGCACCCCAGCCCTGCAAAGCTCCCAGGAGACACTGTATTATT